TCCTACCTCCTCTAGTACTGAACTCCTTATCCTCTTCCACATCATTAATAAATTTCTCCACTTCATTAAACTTCCTTCTCTTCTTTCCTCCCTTATTTTTAATCTCTTTATTTTGAGGTTTCATTTCCTTATCTTTCTCCACTTTCAACCCCATCTTGTCAGCCAACTCCATCACTGGATCCCTCTCATACTGATTTTCCCCACTTCTTGTATTCCTTTCCCCCTCATTGGTTCCTTCTTCTCTATAACTAGTTCCTCCCCTCTTGGTCTTTCCTCAGCCTGAAGCTCTGCAGGCCCTAAATCCCCATCCTCGCTGCTTCTTTGGTTTCCTGCAATCTATTCTCTCTAGCTTCCAGGACAAACAGCCCTCCTTCCTATCTCCAACTGTTTCCTTTTCAACAAGATCTTCTTCACCCAACCCCTTTTCAACAAGAACTCACCTCCCTCTTCTAAACAATCTTTCCAAAGCCCAACAAAGAAAAAACCCCACCCAAAACCCACAAGAACCTTGCATCACCACATACTTGATCCAATCCTCACCTTACGCTTAATAACCTACCCAGCCAATAACAAGACCATACAAACCCCCCACCATTTTTTTTTTTATCAATAACAGAAACTTTATTAAGATTTATGAAGCTTTARGTACAATAAGGGGGAGATAAAGAGTCTTATCTCCCCATCAGCAAATTACAATGAAAGRAGATTAAAAATTAGCCCAAAAAATAGCCTCCCTATTCACCCCTTGCTTGGCCAACCCATCTGCAAAAGAATTAGCAGTCCTTTTCACCCAGCTGTATTGCATCTCAATGCCCCTACATAGCCATAAAAATTTTTTCTTTTCATTATTGTAACTCCACAAGCCACTGTCCTCTTTCTTCAACCAGCTAATCACCATCTTTGAATCACCTTCCAAATCAGCCGACTGATATTTAGTTCCCTTGCTCTTTGAACCCCTTCCAAAGCTGCAAGGATCTCAGCCCTAAGAGAGTCTCCTTCTCCAATAGGGCCTGAGAACAGAGCAATAACAATCCCTTCCTCATTCCTGAAAACTCCCCCAATCCCAGAGGGCCCTGGATTCCTTATGCTACTGCCATGAA